AGCTGGGGATAGGCCACAATGCAAGTTCAACACTCAATTACTGAAGGACACAACCACAAAGAACACCTTCACTGCAACTGTCAGAGCAAAGCAGGAAACACTACGCGACATTACTGAAGAATCATGCGTGGAAGAACATTGGGAGTCTCTGAAGGCGATTCTCAACGAAACGTGTTCAACGGTTCTAGGAAGAAAAAAGAGACAAGACAAGGAATGGCTCTCAACGGACACTTGGAAATTAATAGAAGATGGGAGAATGGTCTGAGAGGAAATGATTCAATGCAAGGACGGACAGGAGAAGGAGACGATGAGCTCAACTTACACATCACTGGACAAAGAAGTGAAGAAGAGTGCTAGGAAGGACAAAGGACGATTCTACGACAACCTCGACACTGAAGCTCAGAAGGCAGCAGGCAAAAGGGACCTGGGGACACTATATCAGATAACCGAATCTCTATCCAGGAAGAGATCAACACAAGCAATACCTATAAAAGACAGCCAAGGGAACCCAATCACCAAGGAAGAAAAACATATTAAACAATGGGCGGATCACTTCAAAGGACTCTTGAACCGACCACCACCTGCAACCTGTCCAGAAATACCAACAACAGCGCGCACACAACTGCAAGTTGACACCAATCCACCAACGAGAGCTGAAGTCTTGAATGCAATCAAGCTTCTGAAAGCTGGAAAAGCAGCTGGACCAGATGGAATACACCCTGAAGCACTGAAAGCAGACCCAGAGACGACAGCAGACATGCTGACTCCATTATTGCAAAAGGTCTGGAAGGAGGGCAAGGTGCCTACTGACTGGAGGAAAGGTTACCCCGTGAAATTACCAAAGAAGGACGACTTAGGCCACACTCTGCAAGAACTGGCGAGGAATAATGCTCCTATCGACGCCAAGTAAAATCCTGAGTCGCATCTTCCTGGAGAGAATAAAGGACGCACTGGAGACAGAACTCCGACCAGAACACGCTGGATTCAGGAAAGGCAAATAATGTACTGACCCAATAGCAACTCTATGCATCATCATCGAACAAAGCATGGAGTGGCGATCAAACCTCTACCTCAACTTTATAGACTTTGAGAAGGCCTTCGATAGGCAGCGTTGATTGTGAAGTAATTTGGAAATTACTCGAGTACTATGGCGTACCCCAAATATTCATCAACCTTATTCAACAGCTGTACGACAACGGAACATTTCAAGTGATCCACGACGGAAAACTCAGCGAGGCGTTTGGAGTAAACACAGGAATCAGTCAGACAAGGGTGCTTACTATCAAAAATGATATTCCTAATTGTGGTGAACTGGGTTATGCGTCAGACAGTGGGAAACGAGAAGACAGGAATATCCTGGACCGACATGAAGAACCTAGAAGACCTGGATTTCGTGGATGACTTATGTTTGATGTCACACACAATCGAAGACTTACAAGCGAAAACCGACAAACTGGTCTAAAAGAAATCTGTCAAAAAACACTGTGCTTAAGTCAACTTAGACTGCGAAATGGTGCAAAGTTAAAGAATAACTTAAGAAGTCACAATTCTACGACCTTATTTAACGCACGCTTTATACACATTTGAATTTGATTCTAGTGTATACTAGACATACAAGGACATATTTTTTTATAACCATGTCCTTTTCTTAAACAATATACCTTTCCTGACGTTAAGTATTGACTGGTAATATTTATCATTCTTGCTAATTTTATCTGCATCAGTTAGAATTAATAGAGCAGGTGAAGTAAGATTGATTGCAGGAATACTTGCAAATAGACTAAGTACAAAGAATTAACTTGCTTGATGAATTAGTATTACCATACCGGAAGCAGCAAAGCCAGGACTCCAGGTAAACATAGACAAGACGGAGGTTATGAAAATAACCAACCAACAACAGCAACAACATCCAACGCCAATCACCATCAACGGGATGGTTTCGAAAGAGGTTACTTTATTCACTTATCTAGGGAGCATTGTCTCAACTACAGGAGGAGCGGACGAGGATGTCAAATCGAGCGAGAGTCGGGAAGGCGATAAACACATTCATCAACCTGAAATCAATCTGGAAATCTTCGTCACTCAGCATCACCAACAAAATTCGGATTTTCAATACAAACGTAAAGTCAGTCAGTTCTTCTATACGGATCAGAAACTTGGCGGGCGGGTCACAAAGAATATTTCCAACAGCCTGTTGCATACCTTCATCAACAAATGTCTTTGCTGTATACTGAAGATCAGATGGCCGGAAAGAATCACCAACAACGAATTATGGGAACAAACAAAGCCAGAACCAATCACCCCCACAAATATGCAGGAGAAAATGGAGATGGATCGGACACTCGCTGAGGAGACCACTGGGTGACATCGCGCGTCAAGCCCTCGAGTGGAACCCGAAAGGGAGGTGGCGAGTGGGACTTCCAAGGGTGACATGGAGGAGATCGTGTGAAGAGGAGCTGAGAGAATATGGACTAACATGGATGCAGACGAAAAGTACAGCAGAAGACAGAAGCAAGTGGAGACGTGCAGTTGAAGCCCTATGTTCCACTAGGAACCCAAGGGAGCAATAATGATAATAAAATAGACTTCTTCAAATCTTTTAACCAGCAGTCGTGACAGATGGCAACTAGTACTTGTCATCTACTTTGACATTTGTAAAGCATTGACCTTGTTGACCATTTACTGCTAACAAATAAGCTGAGCTCCTTAGGAATATGTGACCCATTATTAGGATGGCTTAAATCATTCCTTAACAATAGGTCCCAAATAGCTAAACTCGGGTCTGCAACCTCCAAACCTAGCCCCATCACTTCTGGTGTAGTACAAGGTAGTGTCATTGGACCCATCTTATTTACACTATACATCAATGACATATGCGCCTGCTTCACGTACGGGAAACCATTCATCTTTGCAGATGACCTAAAAGTACCTTATACATTCTAATGTGATGACTTAGGGTACAGCTAGAATTAGATAAAGTGACTGCTTGGTCGTCCTTATGGAATCTCCAATTTAATCTGAACAAATGTGGCTGGATCTGCTTCGCCGCTCTCTCAATTGACCTGAAATTAACGCTTCATTCCGCTAACCTAACCAGACTCCGAAGTGTCGTTGACTTAGGCCTGAGGTACTCTAGTGACTTGACATTCTCTGAGCAAGTGGCATCACAAACTAGAAAATCGAGGATGCTCTTAGGATGCATACTCAGGAACTTTCACGACAATGAAGCCAATTTTATTCCGTACAAAACACGTGTGAGACCACTACTAGAATACTGTCCATTTATTATAAGCAGCAATCACACACGTGATAAGCTAAGGATGGAAAGTATCCAACGATATTTTACCTCAAAACTACTTGGCTATGATTGTAAGAAAGACTACATCTCACGGTGCATGATCCTAAACCTTGACCCACTTTGGACAAGACGACTTATTATAAACCTAATATTCTCCTTTAAGGTCCTTCACAAAATATCATTCTCAGCTAACAGAGACATACAATTCGCACAGGAAGGTTCTTACGATCTGCGTAACCAAACTTGCACAGTGACAACTCATTCTCTTAAGTCAACACTCCTTGAAAACTTCTTCACAGTTATGTATTCTAAAATATGGAATAGCCTGCCCCTAGATGTCAGAACTTGCTCTTCGGTTACAAGCTTCAAACGCTCTCTATACAGACTGTTTCACTCTACTAGTTATATTATTAAACTATTAATTCCTAGAACGAACCAACTATTAGTCTACTACAGCACCTGAAAAACGCGCTTAAACACCCTTAGCAATCTAAAAACTATAAATAAACTAGTAGCATAGATGCATAAAACTTAGTCCGGAACATACAGGAATAGTTTACCCTGAGAAATAGGACCTGTCACTCTATTGTAAATTTCAAACGCTTGCTATATAAACTTTTATCATAAAGGCTGTCCCAACCAGACCGCACCACTTATTTCTAAAACGCATCAGTCATTAGAACACTAAAACGCTCAGACTCATTAATACACATTATGACACTAAATAAACTCTAAGACTTCGCATGAATACGTGAAAACACAACTACAATATAGGTAAATGTTTACTAAAGTATAACATACAATTGACATAAACATTTATACATGCTTGAAATATTAATGTCCTTTTCATGTTTACATACTTTATCTTTCTGATATTCTGCTGCTCCTATTTATCTTCTAGACGAGGTCGAACAACTCTGCATCTAAACTGAAATGAAGATTAATTCCAAACCATTTAACTCATAACCACTCAAATTCCATAAACGATCCAATTCTACCATTTGAAGACGCTGGCGAACATGCTGTAAATGAGTATTCATGATCTGAAATGAAGAAGCAACTGGTTTTCAAACAGTTTTCAACATTTTACTGAACTTACGAATACAGTCCGCCAAGCAGACAGAAATGGAGCAAATGGAGAATTCTGGAATCGACCTCGGCACCATTTGATGCAACAAAACAGCTTGACATGACCTTATCTAGTTTTCGCCTCCACGATCAAATTTCTTTCCTGTTATAAACTACGATAAGACTGCTGAAAAAATGGAATAAATATATCACCGATCTCAACATAATACATCAATAAACTTTAAGCCAAGGGTGCTGTTTACAACAAAGTTATAAAGGAGAATTGACTTCATGCTTTATTTTTCACAGATATCCGTATTGCATTCATCTGATGTCTGGGTTTTTGGTTAATGCGAAGAAAATATTTCTATATCTCTTTATGTATAACACAAACAGACTTTATAGCAGACTGTTTCGAATGTCTCTAATGTCAGAAAGAACAACCAAACTGTAAATTCATCATACATCAAATTATGTGTAATATATATAATAACTCGACGCAAAACTGAGTGCTATTGTCTACAACGTTCCGGACAATGAGGCACTAAAAAAGGTACAGCGCATCTTACTTAGTGAAGCGAAAATGCCTAACTCCAAGACTAAGTGCTATACGCTGAAGAAGAGTCAACATGAGAAGTGTTGTCCTATTCGTTTTCAGTTCGAAACACCGTCAGAGACCAGAAAATTCATTCACTCCCAACACACCCTATCGCAAGCCAGAAACTACAAACATATAAAGGTCGGGGTGGACAAAACAGTCATAGAAAGGCGCGCATACAACTATCTTGCTAAGACTAATTGTGAAATAGGTAATAGGACTTTGCAAGCAGCCATTATTCCCAACCCTGTGAAAGATACAGTAGACCCCACCGCATCACCCCTCTCAAAACACACAGAAACATCCCATCAGAGTGCAACACCAGCCGAAAGGCCACTAGACTGTAACCAAATAAATAATAAAACCATACCACCCATCACCGCAGAATCTAAAATGCCACTAAATAACCCCAGAAAAAAGTTAAAACCCCCCGAAACTCGACTTTGTCCTCTCCTAGCCATAATTCCATTGGTAAAGATAAGGAAAATATGCCCCTAAATCATACCAACAAAAACAGTGGCAGCTTAAATAAGCCCACACTTCCCACGGTCAATAGTACTAGCACCCACAACGTGCTAAATCGCACCATGGCACACACTGATATCCAATGTCACAACAATGTCACCCTAAATAGTACAAGTGGTAATAGTCAGAACTCGGCTATCAACAACTTAGGGTCTTCAGAGTATGGCACACAAACAAATTTTGACCGGATATATGGTACAAGTCTGCTGGGAACTAACCCACAATGCAGTACACATGAAACCCACACAAGGACACAACTAGCATCAAACAATAGGTGGAATAATAAGCCATGGTCATCGAAAGGATCCAATCATTTTTTATCCCCCGCGTCCCTGTCAGCGTTGAAAAAACAGCTGGTAGGGATGTTAACACTCCTAAACCACTAGAGCTGGCTCCCTCCTTGCATGAAAACAGGAACGGTCTAGTGCACCCGTATCCATTAGGCACACTTGACACCTGCACAAATATAGGTCAAATAAAGAACCCTACCCACTTCTGTAACCTGACTAAAAATAAAAATTCCTAGGTCTATAGCACATCCAGTACTCCAACTCCTAATTCTTCACCGAAAACAGCACACACCAACTCGGTAGACATAGGTGAGCATGATGCTGAAACTCCTCTTAACATAGGATCATCATGTCAAGCAGAACTACTGGGTGCTGAACCATATTCGGGGCTGACTAACGAACTTGAATACTTCAAATGCTACTTCAACTCTCATCTTTACGTAATCCTCATAAATGCTAGATCTGTTCTAAATAAATTGCCGATGCTCAGAGCACTCACAGTAATATACAAACCCCCTGTAATTGTCATCACTGAATCTTGGTGTCATTCGAACATCTTGGATGAAGAAATAAGCTTAGATAACTACACACACTTTCGGTGTGACAGGGAAGGTGGTAAGGGAGGGGGTTGTCTCATGTACTTTCTGAATGCACTTACTGTATCACAGCTAGAAAGTAGTACACTTAACATGCCTGAGACTCTATGGGTTAATGTACACCTAAATAACGTAACAGCATTAATTGGATGCACCTACAGAGCACCTGGCACCTTTAGTAATTACGAGACCCAACTTATTAATACTCTGGAGCAATTATCCGACTTACAATACGACCATAAGATCCTATGTGGGGACTTTAACTTACCTGAAATTAACTGGGATATACCCACAGGCCCAACTAAATTTGATAAGTTTTTAGGCACGCTGGATATACTTGGCTGGAAACAAACTGTCACTACTCCCACAAGAGGTAATAACGTACTAGACTTAATCTTCTGCCACAATATAAGCCCCCTTTCAACGCTAGTAGGTTCTGAGTTTCCAGGGAGCGACCACAAAACAGTGGTATGTGCACTGCCACTTCCGCTGAGTAGCAATGCATCTCATACCTCCACTTCACAACAAGTAATATATAGGAACTATAGTAAGGCAAACTGGGCCTTAGTAGAATCAATGCTAAGATCCTCCAAATGGGACGAATACTTCACTACCGATGACCTATCGAGAGCCCTAACCATCTTCTACCATAACACTAACACATGCTTAGATGCTGTCATTCCACTCCAAACACTAAAGATTTCCCCACACAGAAAGTCATTCATAAAACCAAAGGATCGTACGAAACTGAAGAGACTCTCAACAAGTTACTTCAAACACCACGACTTTGGCACTCTAGGTCTAATACTTAACACCCTTAGCTCCATCTCACAAGCTCGAGATCACCGTATGAGAAAGGAAGAACGCACTGCAGTAGCCAGTCCTGCTAGAGTGTATGCACTCACAGAAATCTTAAGGAAGCGAATGAATCGCAAAAATCACAGCATTTCTCTCCTCATAGACAAAGGTAGGCTATGCACTAACTCTGCAGACATATGTGAACTATTCAACAAAACTTTTGCAGGTAACTACATTAAGCCCTCAGTCCAGCTACTCGATATACACCCTACTACTAATATGACACAAACTCCATCTCCACTCACACCAAATAAAATCAGCACTGTTCAATTCACTTACGCTAATATTAACCAAACTATAAGAACCCTCAAAAGTTCAAAAGGTTTCGGTACCGACGGTATATCATCTTACTTCTATAAATATGGTGGCCCTGACATTCCTCTACTGCTTCTTAAAATATTCACAATGTCCCTAGAAACTCAAACTTACCCTGACATATGGAAGACAACATTCATTATGCCTAAACACAAATCTGGCTCGAAAACTGAAGTCAGTAACTACCGGCCGATCAATATCACACCTATAGCATCTAGAATCATGGAGAGACTGGTCAAAGATAACCTAATCAAACATATGCTTAGCTGGAATATTATAAGTCCAAACCAACATGGATTCCTGAAATCCAGATCATGTTTAACATGTCACCTAGACTTCTTCAATTTTGTAACCAGCAGTCGTGACAGACGGCAACTAGTACTCGTCATCTACTTTGACATTTCTAAGGCATTTGACCGTGTTGACCATTTACTGCTAACAAATAAGCTGAACTCCTTAGGAATACGTGACCCATTATTAGGATGGCTTAAATCATTCCTTAACAACAGGTCCCAAATAGTTAAACTCGGGTCTGCAACCTCCAAACCTAGCCCTATCACTTCTGGTGTAGTACAAGGTAGTGTCATTGGACCCCTACTATTTACACTATACATCAATGACATATGCGCTTGCTTCACGCATGGGAAGCCATTCATCTTTGCAGATGACCTAAAAGTAGCTTATACATTCCAAAATGATGACTTAGGGAACTTCGAGAATGTAGTGCAGAAGGAATTAGATAAAATGACTGCTTGGTCGTCCCTATGGAACCTCCAATTTAATCTGAACAAATGTGGCTGGATCTGCTTCGCCGCACCCTCAATTGACCTGAAATTAACGCTTCAATCCGCTAACCTAACCAGACTCCGAAGTGTCGTTGACCTAGGCCTGAGGTACTCTAGTGACTTGACATTCTCTGAGCAAGTAGCATCACAGACTAGAAAATCGAGGATGCTCTTAGGATGCATACTCAGGAACTTCCACGACAATGAAGCCAAGCTAATTCTGTACAAAACATGTGTCAGACCACTACTAGAATACTGTCCATTTATTATAAGCAGCACTCGCACACGTGATAAGCTAAGGATGGAAAGTATCCAACGATATTTTACCTCAAAACTACTTGGCTATGATTGTAAGAAAGACTACATCTCACGGTGCATGATCCTAAAACTTGACCCACTTTGGACAAGGCGACTTATTATAAACCTAATATTCTTCTTTAAGGTCCTTCACAAAATATCATTCTCAGGTAACAGGGACATACAATTCGCACAGGAAGGTTCTTACGATCTGCGTAACCAAACTTCCACAGTGACAACTCATTCTTTTAAGTCAACACTCCGTGAAAACTTCTTCACAGTCATGTATTCTAAAATATGGAATAGCCTGCCCCTAGATGTCAGAACTTGCTCTTCGGTTACAAGTTTCAAACGCTCTCTGCATAGACTGTTTCACTCTACTGATTATATCAATAAACTATTTACTCCTAGAACGAATCAATCACTAATCTACTACAGCACCTAAAAGACGCACTTCAACACCCTTTGCAATCTAAAAACTATAAATAAACTAGCAGCATGGATGCATAAAGACTTAGTACGGAACATACAGGAATAGTTTACCCTAGAAATAGGACGTGTCACTTTATTGTAACCTTCAAACGCTTGCTATATAAACTGTTTTATCCCAAAGTCTATCCCTACCAGAACTCATTACTTACTTCTAAAACGCATCAGTCATTAGAACACTAAAACGCTCAGACTCATTAATACACATCATGACACTAAATAGACTCTAAGACTTCGCATAAATTCGTAAAAAGAACTAACTAAAAATAATTTCTTAATAGTTTATTATACAATTGACATAAACAATTATATATATACATTAATGTCCTTTTAATGTTCACATACTTTCTCTTTTTGGTACTCTGATACTCCTATTCATCTTCTGGTCGAGGTCGGAAAACCCTGCATCTAAACTGAAATGAGGATTAATTCCAAACCATCTACCTCATAACCACCCAAATTCCATGAACGATCCAATTCTACCATTTGAAGACGCTGGCGAACATGCTGTAAATGAGTATTCATGATCTGAAATGAAGAAGCAACTGGTTTTCAAACAGTTTTCAACATTTTACTGAACTTACGAATACAGTCCGCCATGCAGACACAAATGGAGCAAATGGAGAATTCTGGAATCGACCTCGGCACCATTTGATGCAGTAAAACAACCCAACATGACCTTATCTAGTTTTCGCATCCACGATCAAATTTCTTTCCTGTTATAAAACTACGATAAGACTGCTGAAAAAATGGAATAAATATATCACTGATCTCAACATAATACATCAATAAACTTTGAGCCGAGGGTGCTGTTCACAACAAAGTTATGTAAGAGGATTGACTTCAAGCTTTTTTTCCCAGATATTTGTATTACATTCATCTGATGTCTGGGTTTTTTTTAATGCGAAGACAATATCTCTATATCTCTTTATGTGCTACAAAAACAGACTTTATAGCAGACTGTTCCGTCTGACTCTAATGTCAGAAAGAACAACCAAACTGTAAATTCATCATACATCAATTTGTGTAATTTATATAATAACTTATCCATGCCTGTACAATTGGTATGTTCCTGCATAAACAGGAAGAAATATATTATTGTTATTATTATTAACTGATCCATGCCTGTACAATTGGTATGTTCCTGCATAAACAGGAAGAAATATATATTATTATTTGCACTACTTTTGAGTTAAATTGACTATCTTTAGTCAACAGCTACCCATTCTAATATAAATTTCTAAAATTCATAATGTTAAAGCTATGTAGTATTTTTTCCATTGTATACTTGATGAGTCAGTTTGCAATGTGTGACGCACACCATATAAAATCGGTAGCCAAAATTAAGCATACCAAGTTCTGCTAACCAGTTGCTTCTCTCAGGACCACTTAACATAACTTTCTCACTAATTGTTCCAATACTTAAAATGATGAAAATATTCATGCAGCAAACGTTCTCGTGCTTCCACGCTTGTTTCCCTCATAACACTCAATTATTGAGCCTAGTGTATCTTTGATAATACGAACTATAACATTAATTATGCTCTTACCATGTATAGGTCGATTTACTCTACGGCTCCCTGTAGACTAACTAACATTCTTCAGGATACACACATTGCAGTATTGTTAACCAAATGCTAAAATTTTGTTGGTTCTGTGTTGATATCTTTTTATAATATGTTTAGACACGCTCCTTTGCAATGACAGATGGCAATTATATATAAGACCATCATGATAATTTAGTACACTAAGTCCTGACAACCAACCTTACCTTCAGTTCTTAATACCTGAATTGAACCCTAACTATAGTTTAATCCTGAAACTTGCTCCAAAAGCGTCAGTCAACAAAAACACCTGGAATCATGCATATAGCACGCATGATATCAGTTC